CATCTACCGGTAACCTACATGTAGCTTACAGATGAACTACAAGAATTCCTGGCCCTAGTGGCCAGAAATTCTTGTTGACGATATGGACAGTCAAAGTATTGGTGCTCGCTACACAGACTGGCATAAGAATCACAGCCCGATTTATCATGTAAGGAAAAAAGGACATAGATGCATCTAATGTGACATTTCATTGTGGCAACGTTTCGTTGTCCAGGAGCTTAGTCAAAGACTATCCCTAATGGTTTAACATTAGTTGCAACTGTGCCCTTTTACCTAACGTATTGTCGGAAATTTTGCCGACATAAAAGCCTGATATTAAAAGTAGTCCTATTTTCCCTTCATAATATCAAAGGTATATAATACCGCCGAGTTGAAAATCTAGTCACATATGCAACAACTGGATATCATCATTATGTAGATACAAGGTCCGGCTTAACATGGTCCACTTCCACTCATGTAATTGTTTAATCTATTTTTAAAGCTACCAATGTATGTGCTTCAGTGACGTTACTTAGCATTCCTTGTTTCGAAGGTTATTAACGAATATCTTATCACGCATTCAAGGAACAATATTGATACTATCACAACTACAAGGAAATTGACAATCTGGGTATAAAGAGCCTTTAAAATCAGAGATACTGTGCCACTAATATTCTTCAAGGTAGTTACAGTACAGCCTACATTATAAATTCATTTTGTGCAGTTAGAATTTCGCTGTTAGAATTTTGCACTGTTAGAATTGCACTGTTAGAATTTAAGATCTAGTAAATGTACAGAAAAAATTCACTGCCAATAGATGAAAATTTAATATTTTTTTTTTTTTTTACAACAGGAAACTTGATAATTCAATCATATATGAGAGGAACTTTTAGCTTTCGGTATAAATTAAATACTGACAAGTAATTCACAGCTGAAATTAGTTCTATGTAATTGTGTATACTATAATTTTGTGACTTAATGCCTAGAAACTGTTGAACGGTGAACAACGGTGAACAGTGAACAAGTTTTAAATGCAGAGATTTATTATGCAACTGGCACATGGACAACAACAGTGGACGCTAATGTGTGTGTGTATAAATAGAAGACTGGACGGGGAAGTGAGCTGTGACCCTGGTGGTAACAGGTCCAGCACATTACCACTGATCTACGAGGCTGTCGATAAGGAGAATTATGCAATAGAACTTTGTGTGAATAGGTTGGATGGTTAATTGGGTTTAAATCCTATCTGCTACACCTTTTCACCGTAAGTCAAGAATAATTCCCAAGATAAGGATTAAAGTAAGCTCTCAGCATTTACATGCGGCAGACGTACACCTCTCGGTATTTATATCCCTGTGCGTACATGTAATTACTCGTTGTCCAAGTGTGTGCGCGCACCTGTAAATGATTACTAGTTCACGGGTATGTAAATAAGAGAAGCAAGAGGCACGCGCGTCAGTGTACCAGCACGTGTAGATACCAAAGAGAATTGACGTGAAAATGCTAAGGCAAATAAACTCAAATATATATTTAGGTGAGGATTGGCTTGTGCAAACACGTGGGTGAGCGTTTGTGTACTTACGTTAGGGAGCGTGGGAGGAGCACCAACAGAGCTTGTCAGAACTAGACTGTGGTGAGGAGCATGGGAGGCAGTGTGGGAGTCTCACAATCATTCTAGAAGTTGAGAACTAGAACGATGTGAGGAAGCAATAGTTACTCTGGAAACGTTTCGCCACATAGTGGCTTCTCCAGGCCAATACAGAGAAGAACAGTGGAAGATGAGGAGTTTAAGGTAGTCAATCCCTCAACCATTAATCGATGTGTTCAGTTCATCATCAGTCTCGAAGAAATGTCATAAACATACTTTTGTTCATCATTTTTTAGCTGATCCGACTCGGGGTTCCCTGTTATTCCCACCCAATGAATCCCTCGGCGTGAGAGTAACTTTAATATTAACGCGGATAGGAAAATCTTAATGAGATTGCACAAGTATGAGGTATGTAAATACAGACAGATTGTGGAGTAAAGGCATGTGAAGTGCGCAACATTGTTATCACGGCGACGTCAATGCAACCCTGCCTTCGGTGGTCACTCTCTTTTATAAATAGATTTTCTTCATTCTGTTTCTTTAGATGTGTCTGCGTGCTAGGATAAATCCCACATGCATATTTATGTTAATTAATTTATTGATCCAGGCTTCTAGTAACCTCGTCTATGTATACTTCATTGTATGTAGTCCTCTACCCCTTCCCACACAGGATTCTACACACTGTTCCTGTCTCCACTGCTATGGCTGGCCTTTGTTTTGACCAAGTCCTTAATGGTTGTGGTAAAGTTCGTTACTAAGCGGAGTTTATTACCAGCTAGTGCACTATGAATGTTGCTACGTAGGTTGCTGGCGTTGGCGAAAACGTAATTGGCAACTTCTCTCGCACACATTTATTGGCTGATAATGGTAGTGTTCAAACTATAGAAAACGTGTTCTTTGGTACGATGAACACGTTTTGTACGGTTTGAGATGAATCACGAACAAACGCAGGTTGCTGAACACACATGATGAAACACCAGTGAAGATGGCTCATGCGCATACAGCTAGTGGAATGCATATCGGTAGCTGTACCATTCGTTTTAAGAGTGTGATGGCTCACACCATAACTATCCTTGCCACGCTAGTGAGTTTGAAGAGTGGCTCCTCAGACACGATCTCCTCATAACTCTGAAGTGCTGGTGATATCCGCTGCATGTTTGCTTAAAACTCAGAAACACTCGGTCATATGAGCCTCAAGGATTATTCCATCGCCTACACATTTATGAGGTGTTAGACAGGCGTGGATTTATGTCCTAGACACGGCAGTGGATTCGTCATATATACTCCCTGATTTTCAAATCTTTGAACATGCTTGAAACCACACTCTGCTGTGAGGATGTGGCTGAAGAAAATGAAATATTGGATATGAATTCGTTCGGGAAACATAGAGAGAAGTCTAAAATCCTAAATCTCCTCTTATTACTTTCTCTTGAAAAGAGGAAAATGTGGGGAATATTACTAACGTATGCATGAAAATAATGAACCAAAATAAGGATTTAAATAATGTGCTGAAACTATCCAGCCAAGACAGAAATCATAACAATGTTTTCAAGTTCGGTAAAATTGGATTTAGAAAAGGTATAAGAAAGCACTGGCTTGCCAGCAGAGTTATTGATCAGTAAAAAAACTTCATGTAATGCCAGTGAAGGGAATACTTTGGGTATACCTAAAGCATACCTAGAGAGGGTTTCGGGGGTCAACGCCCCCGCGGCCCGGTCTGAGACCAGGCCACGTGGTGGATCATGGTCTGATCAACCAGGCTGTTACTGCTGGCCGCACGCAAACTGACGTACGAGCCACAGCCCGGCTGGTTAGGTACTGACTTTAGGTGACTGTCCAGTGACTTTTTGAAGACAGACAGGGGTGTATTGGTAAACTTCCTTACGTATCCTGGGAGACAGTTGAACAGTCTTGAGCCTCTGACACTTATTGTGTTGTCTCACATTGTATTCGTGGCGCCCCTGCTTTTCATCGGGGGAATGCTGCATCTCCTGCCGAGTCTTTTGCTTTGATAGGGAGTGAGTTTCGTGTGCAAGTCTCGTACTAATCCCTCTAGAATTTTCCAAGTGTTTATTATCATGTATCTCTCTCGCCTGCGCTCCAAGGAATACAAATCAAGGGAGTTCAACCACTCCCAGTAATTTAGGTGCCTTATCGTACTTATGTATGCCGTGAGACTTCTTCGTACACTCTCCAGGTCAGCAATTTCGTCTAATAATATATGAAACTAATACCTGAGTGGGAATAGCCGGGTGTGGTAAGCATCTGCCTGCTTAGCATGCCACAACAGACCTACTCTGATGTCCTTATCGTCTCACATACATTCATGTGTCTGGTCTCGTTGGAGCTTAGAAAGTATAGAAACTAAGAGAGACCTCAAAGAATCAACAAACAATTTGGATAGAAAAAGAATGGGAACGTTTCTAAAGGTAAAAAAGAAAAAAGATATCAGGATAGGACAACAAGAGAAAAATGGACTCCTTGAAAACACAACAGGAGAGAATGAAAACAAAACAAACGACATATTTCCTGATGTTTGACTTGTAATCTTGGAACATATGTCACGTAATGAAAGTGATCCTTTTGTCGTAATCATTACGAGATAATATTTTGCGACATAAAGGAAACATTAATGAAACAAGGTGCAGGCATGTCTATCTGGAACAATGCAAAACGGAAATAGAGAGGAAAAGAATTGAGGAAGCTCATAAAACAACGAAAATCACAGAAAGAAGAAACGGGGTGATGAGAGAACAAGGAGAATCTCTGCCTTCAGAAAACCCCTCCTTGTGCATCCCATTCTCGCCTCTCAGAAATTACGCTTTAAAAGAGATGTAGTTTCATTAATAACAATCCACACGGATTTACAAATGTCACATTTTGTCTCTCAAACGCACTGAACATCTGTTATAGAGTAACGCAAACAAAACATAAGAAAAGTGGGATGGGTGAACTGCATCTTCATACACAACATGGATGCTGACAAAGTGCTGCGCAAGCAACTGAGCTAGCAAAGTCGAGGAGCAGAGAAGGGTAAAAGAAAAGACAGTACTATGAGTCAAAAGAAAGGAGCCAGAATGGTGATCAGGATAAAAGGTTTTAGGTAAAACAAGAAGCATGAGCTATGAGAGAAGCAGAGAGCAGAGAGAAGCAGTCAGAAAGTGGAATGACCTCGACGAAGTAGTAATATAGTCAAATTCCGCACACAGTTTTAAGAACAAGTATGACAGTGCTCACAAAGCTAAACGTAAACCCCGTCCACACCAAGAGCTAGTTACATATATGCGAGTGTTCCGCAGGTATGAAGGCAACAAGCATGTGTATTACAATTAAATAAACTCGACTGGTCCTTCATCTTTTTACTGCTTATCTTAAGACGTTATCAGGTGGTGGTCCTGGGCCTGATACGTGTGCACTGCTCTCCAGGCTCGGATGCGGATGTATACAATCAGCTATCCTTCACTCTCACTCGTCTTCGCTCAGCTGAACAGATGAGATCACTCTCATTCGTGTTCGTTCAGCGGTACACAACGCGTTGGACCTACTCCCACTGTCGTACACGTACAGAAAACGTTCGGTTCACTATCACAATCCTGTACGTACGTTACATGCTCAGTCCAGTATAACACTGGTGTTCGTACAGTGTAGTCCCTCAGTCTAGAGGAACAAGGCGCTCTGTGCGGGTGTAAATCAAAACACAGAGGTTAAAACATTGTAAAAGCATATAGTGCTATATAAGTGTGATATTAACATTTATAAAACAAGTACTGAGGACTAGTTAGTGATTTTTCTCGCTGATTGAGTGAATCACAGCAGTGGTTGGTGATTGATATTACAGGACCTGTCACCTTGCATTACGGTCATCAGTCATCACGGCATCGGCAGCATTGTCGCACGGATCGATGTGTGAATCAACATCAAGTACAGTGGTGAGTCGTCCTTGTAAGTGGGAGCCTCGGGAATTCCGCTGGTTCGTACATCTGGCAGGGAATGAGGCGTGTATGTGTGTTAGTTACCATTTTGTCCCAGGCAAATCTCGATAGACACTTGGCTTGTTGTATGTGTGTGTGTATGTTGCACACAGTCGTGTTGCATAATGTGGTGGCAAACATCTAAAACGTATTGCTTAACTATTGTGAAAATATTTACTATAGGTTCATTAAGAATAATGTTTAAGTCAGTGTTTGTATTGGTGGAGGGACTTAGTGCTCTCACTTTTTTTAATCCCTGACATACACTGTAATATCTAGTTCGTAATCAGTTTCGTAAGATATCAACAGATATCATCTTTGATCACACGTTTAATATTAACAAACCGTCGAGCAGTGAGTTGATCACAGGGGGAGAGTAACACAAATCTGACAGAAATAACTTCTTACTATCAAGTGGTGGAGGTTGTGTATATGTCAACAGGCAGGAAATGCTTCCCGCCGAGGGTCACTGTGACTAAGCAACCACTAGCATACCAGGGCAGTATACTCGTTGTTCAGCAACCACTAGCATACCAAGGCAGTTTATCCATAGTTAAGTAACCACTAACATACCATGGCAGTATACCCGTTGTTCAGCAACCACTAGCATACCAGGGCAGTTTATCCATAGTTAAGTAACCACTAACATACCATGGCAGTATACCCGTTGTTCAGCAACCACTAGCATACCAGGGCAGTTTATCCATAGTTAAGTAACTACTAACATACCATGGCAGTATACCCATAGTTATGCAACGACTAATATATCTTGTGTGTAAGCATAAGCTCACACAATGTTTGCACAATCTGAGTTTTTGCATCCTGTCTCACATCTAGGTACATTATATTTACCTAGAGTTGATTGCATAAATATATATATATATATATATATATATATATATATATATATATAATATATATATATATATATATATATATATATATATATATATATATATGTCGTGCCGAATAGGCAGAACTTGCGATCTTGGCTTAAATAGCAACGATCATCTTGCCATATAGGACAAGCGAAAATTTGTGTATGCAATAATTTCGCCAAAATCATTCTGAACCTAACGAAAAAAATATATTTCACTGTGTTTGTTTAGTATTAAATTATTGTAAACAAATCTAAAATATATTTAGTTGGGTTAGGCTAAAATAAATTGTTCTTGTTATAATAAGGTTAGGTAAGTTTTCTAAGATTCTTTTAGAGCAAAATTAAAAATTTTTACATTAACGTTAATGAAAAAAATATATCATTAAACGTATAAGAGAAATTTTTAGAAAGGACTTAATTTTAAATGAGTTCATGCTAATTGACCAGTTTTACATATTCGGCACGACATATGTATATATATATATATATATATATATATATATATATATATATATATATATATATATATATATATATATATATATATATTATACATGCATACATCATACATACATACATACATACATACATACATACATACATACATACATACATACATACATACATACATACATACATACATACATACATACATACATACATACAAAAATACGTGTGTGCGTGTGTTTATATATACACCCTTGCAGGAGCAAGGTAGGGGGCCTAAGGTAGGGCCTTTTATAAAGGTTAAATAGTTGCCAGAGGTAGATAAGGTCTGCCTACCCCAAGGATGGACGCTCTACACTCAGTAACAATTGCGTGTGTGGTGTGACTCACTTTGGCAATCTTAATAGTTCGACTAACAGTGGCAACCGTCACTGATATAACCACGCCACAACACTCACGTGAGTGGGATCTCTCTCTCTCTCTCTCTCTCTCTCTCTCTCTCTCTCTCTCTTCTCTCTCTCTCTCTCTCTCTCTCTCTCTCTCTCTCTCTCTCTCTCATTAATTTTATACCATTCACACGCGCAACGGAGAAGTACAGTAATCAGGTTATAACTAGTAATTATGCACCTGCCAATGTTACTTAGTAAACTGTTGCTTCAGCCAAGGAGTAAGTCACAGTTGCAGCCAGATACACCTATATACACATGTGGAAAAAGACATGCACAGTCTAGAACATTTTTTAGAGGACACGTTTCGCCACGAGTGGCGAAACGAAAAAGAAGCCTCTTGTGGCAAAACGTTTCCTCTAGTAAAAGTCCTGATCTGTACATACATTTCTTTTTTCCACATCTTGTCGGTATCAACATACCATTTTTCAAGTGTACACATGTCTTCACCCCGGATATATGCTCACGAAAGTGTACATTTCCTTTTGGCACTTGAAGGTCAGTACAGTGATAGGCTCACTTTCTCGCCCTTTCTCACTCAGCAGAGGACAAAAACGTTTAGTATGTGAACACTGCCAGTTTTTTCTCGGCTACCTTGTTGCCAGACATTGGTTAACTGGGTGGCTTATTGGACCATCAAGGACAGGTTCACGTAAGAAGAACTTGGCACATTTTGTGTGAAGACAAATGCAGTTTATTACTGAAGCCTATCGACTGCTTGTGAATCATTAATTTTTCATGTCCTGTTGTCACTACGCGTCAAGAATACTTTAATCCCAAAAATAGGGATTAAGGCGTATTCATCTGGCAGACATTGTCCTTTCGGGGAAAATTTACACCGCATATTTCTGCAGTATTTTAATGATTGCTAAATTGTTCGTGAAAATGCATACCAAACTTAACCTAACCTGACCATACCAAACTTAACCTAACCTGACCATACCAAACCTAACCTAACCTGACCATACCAAACCTAACCTAACCTGACCATACCAAACCTAACCTAACCTGACCATACCAAACCTAACCAATCCTTGCCAAACCTAACCTGACCATACCAAATATAACCTATCCTTACCAAACCTAACTTAACCTAACGTAACTTAACCTTGCCAAGCATAACCTAACCCAATCTAATCTAACCTAATCTTACTAAACCTAACCTTCCTTAACCTAACCTATCATTACCAAACCTAACCTAACCTTACCAAACCTAACGTAACCTTATGTAACCTAACTTAACCTAATTTAAAATAATAAAGAATAGGAACTGGGAAAAACTAAAATTAATGGCGTTAACCTAAGAAAGTCAGTGCATCATCTTTTTCCAATGGGATAATTTAGTCTTCTCCTGGATGAGCCTATCAAAAATTCGGTAATACTCGGGTTTATATTTACTGTTAGGTGTAGAGGCGCACAGTAGATATCAGATGTGCTCCTGCGTCTCTCTTTGCCTAAGAATGTACCCCAGTCCTTAGGTTCTCAGTCGAATGTTTTCCCACTGGTCAGTAAGATCAAATTCCTACAATTTCTTCTTGTAGAGTGTAATCAAATAAGGAAGATATATGGCATGAAAAAGTTTGCAGGAAGACTTGGACAGATTTATAAAATAGAAGAGCATGTAGTTAATGAAGCTTAACCCCATTAAATAATTTCCAGACGAATGGGAATTATTGGGAATTATGGGAATTAGTGAAGAAAAAAAATCTGTGAACAATTATAACCCAAAATCAGCTACATGAAGCACATATATACAATTAAAATTCAGAAGATTATGAGAAGCTAACAAGCTTAAGAATAAGAATCATTTGTATGCAACCTACGTTTTTTAATGTGTAGCCTCAGTGTTGAACCCTCTCCTCGTCCAGCACAGTGTAAAGCTTGAGAGAGTTGAAGGTGACCGCCGGGTCAACAACTAGACAAGACAAGGGCCGCGACAGTACCGGCGAACCTCATCCAGTCCGGAGTATATCAAGTCTGGTGCCCGAGACAAGGGTATGTATGTATAATGCTCGTCCTGGCACGGGTTTCAATCTTGCGATGACCCGTCTCTGGTTCCCGAGGGAGAAGAGATAAGGGTAATGATCGCTGAGGAAACAACAAGAAGAATTGATCTCCTATGTTTGGATACAAACCTCACACCAAATGAGCAGCATAAGAGTGGTGAAGAAGTTTAACGTCGTACACAGTAATGTAGAAGAAACTGACGTCATACAAGGATTAAAAAAAGAGAGATATGGTAATCTTTTCATGTTACTTGAAAATAAAAAGGCAGAACCAGAGGTAAAGCTTACCCCTGTAAGCTCGGACAGCCAAATATTACACACACACACACACACACACACACACACACACACACACACACACACACACACACACACACACACACACACACACACACACACATACACACACACACACACACACACACAAGGAATTGTTCAGGACCCTGTACACCGTGTACGTTAGGCCCATATTGGAGTATGCGGCACCAGTTTGGAACGCACACCTAGCCAAGGCATGTAAAGAAACTAGAGAAAGTGCAAAGGTTCGCAACAAGACTAGTCCCAGAGCTAAGAGGTATGTCCTACGAGGAGAGGTTAAGGGAAATCGACCTGACGACACTGGAGAACAGGAGAGATAGGGGGGGGGATATGATAACGACATTTAAAATACTGAGAGGAACTGACAGGGTGGACAGAGACAGAATGTTCCAGAGATGGGACACAGCAACAAGGGGACACAGTTGGAAGTTGAAGCCTTAGATGAATCACAGGGATGTTAGGAAGTATTTCTTCAGTCACAGAGTAGTCAGGAAGTGCAATAGTTTGGGAAGCGATGTAGTGGAGGCAGGATCCATTCATAGCTTTAAGCAGAGGTATGATAAAGCTCATGGTGCAGGGAGAGTGACCTAGTAGCGGCCAGTGAAGAGGCTTGGCCAGGAGCTATGACTCAATCCCTGCAACCACAGCTAGGTGAGTACACACACACACATACACACACGCGCGAGCGCAACAACAACAGCAGCAACAACAGGACAAGTGTCTATCGACATGGGCTTTTGATAGATGGTAAACAAATGTTAAGGAGAATAATCACCTCTAGAACCAAAAATGCTATTTTTTTTTACATCATGTATTCTGAGATACTGACAATGAATATTAATTATGCTAGAAATTAATATAAGCATTTTATTACAGTAGTTTTCAGCATTAAATAATATTGATTATATAATATATCCAAAGGCCTTAATAATAAGTTAATGATCATTGTCCACAGTTTTATATTAATAAGAGTTAATTGTGTGAGAAGACTCACTTGATTATTGTCTTGCAGGAAAGCAAGGTGATGGATCAACTCCTCTACACTACGAAGGGTCCGAAGCCCACCATGTTCTGGCTTCCGGGTAATGGCAGAAATATCGCTCCTGGCCCCAGCTCTTACCGCCCCTTTGATCAGATCGTCCGCACCGTCCACTTATACGAAGCTCTCGACATCTGCGTCGACCAGCAAATGATACCAAAACCCATCACAAGTCGCAGTATCATTAATATGAATCATTTACATCCCAACCATCCATGTAAGAACTTGCAAGTCCTTTGGTTTGGAACTCAACGCTCTGAAGATGAGGAGGAGCACGACTGGTATGGGAATGTTTCGTTTTCACTGCCTGTCGATCTTCTCCTGAAACACTGGAAGCATTGTTTCCTGGTGGAGCTAATGTCAGCTCCGACGCACACTGCAACACGGCTACTTCTCACTAATACAGATTACTCTTCAGTTCTGACCAAGTACGACCCAAACACCAAGGAAGGACCTTGGCTGAAGGCTTCTTTTGGTCACTTGGAATTAACCGACTGCTTACGCTACAACAACATAGGGTATAACAAACATGGTCACACTTTGGAGTTCATGATTGAGGTCACTCCATTTGGTCAGAGGAAAATCTTGGAGATGTGTGAGATCTCTTTCAGGAATCACTCCGAAGCAACAAATAAAACCCTTCCACACGTTTGTCATCGTTTTCAGAACATGGCAAATCCATGTCCATCGCCCTTCACTAGTTCCATCTGTTCCAGGATATTCTTTCGTGAACATTCACGCCTGGGGAGGCGTCTATGCATTGCTCATCCCCGTCTCTCCAGAAGTGCTGAGTTCCTCATGCACTATTACTTCACCATGGTACCTCCAGCTGTGCCTAAGCACCATCTTGGTTCTGCACCTGATCTTCCCCGCAGGGCTTTTGTGAGTTACATTCAGCACATTTCACAGTTTCTACTACAGCTTCCTAATGGGTTGCTCTCTGGCCAGAGTCTCTTGCACGGGAAATATTCTGGAGCGGGAGAAGAAAATGTGAGGCAAATATCAAACTTGCAATTTATACCATGGCACATTCTTGCATTTTTAGAGTGTAACCAAATGTTGCAGAAAAAGGAAGAAAATGGTAAGAATAAAAGTCAACTGGGCCATCTTCAGGTGGGAGGCAACATGAACCAGAGAATTCAGTGTAACACACGTAAGGGCCAACACCACCTTGCAAAATTAAACCATAATTTTCCTAGCAGTCCTGAAACACCAGAGCTCATACATCAGTTTCCTCCTCCACCTCTTGGAAAATTTAACCACAACAAGTCTGGCCATCATGGAATACTACAGCACATGCATCAGTTTCCTCCTCCTCCTCCTCCTGAAAATTTCAACCACAGTTTTTCTGACCATCATGGAATGCAATACATACATCAATTTCCCCCTCCTCCTCTTCCTCCTCCTCCTCCTGAAAATTTCAACCACAGTTTTCCTAACCATCGTGCATTGCAATACAATCATCAATTTCCTCCTCCTCCTCCTCCTCCTCCTCCTCCCCCTGAAAATTTTAACCACAATTTTCCTAACCATCATGGAATGCAGTACATACATCAGTTTCCTCCTCCATCCCTTGGAAAGTTTAACCCCAATTTTCCTGACCATCATGGAATGCCACGACACATATACCAGTTTCCTCCTCCTCCTCATATAAACTGATACAGTACAGGAGTGACAAAGGCTCATTTTACATTCAAGGAAAGCTAGAGTCCTGGTTATCATATAGTGCAAGAGAATATCTGTTCTGATCACGTAGAATATTCCGACATACAGTACTTGCAGCTAAGATCATCCTGGGATGCTGCTGAACAAATGAGTGAGAGATTACAGTGTACATACCCATAATAGTGTACAAAACTGGTTATATGGAAGGCCTTTAGACTAGTTCAATCCTCCTACGAAAGAGGTTAAAGAGTACATGACACTACTTTTATTTTCACTCTGAATAATATCTCATTATTCATTCAGCATTTTCAAAAAGTTTTAAATTTTGACTGTTCATAGTGCAAATCTGTTATAAGGTTTAAGACTTTTTATAACATTGAATGTATTTGTAATTTAGATATGGGAATATGTATGTGTGGATAATGAAGATAATTTTGAATGCATCATTAATCTTAAGTGATATATATTTTTGTATAAAATATGTTGCTGCTGAAGCGGCTAGTTTATTGAGCATCCCATAGCCATTCTATGAATAGTATCGCAAGAGCATATAGATACACAAAAGGCCTAGGAACTAGACCCCAAAAGAATTAGCAGGAGTAAGTTTGGGAATTAATTTCCATATTGTTTTATAATCTATTAAAATAAAATTTAGGATACTTCCTCAAAATTTTCTGTGAGAAACCCTGACATGCAGTATTACATTGGTTAGTACAGTAATTATAGGCAGGTATTCATTAATAAGTGATCACTCAAAGACGCGAGGTGACACCCTGACACTTCTACATCTGCACCACGATATGACATAAGTGCATATACGCTGAGATATACACTGATTGTGATAAAACGAAAATATGACTTATTAAATTGAAAAAGTGTATTGTCATGACCTGAGGAGTTAAAATGTGACCTGAAGCTTAGCTGACACACACTTTGCCAGTGAACCAACACTAGTTGCTGAAGGCAACTAGTGTTGCCTTCAAGGGCAGTGTCTGGATACTCCTTATTTTAAGAACAAAAGTTACCATTCAATTTCTTCCTGAACAAGCCTGGTCAGCCTATATTTCCCAGGAGTTGTATAACTCTCCTGGGTATAGCAATTTCCCGATGAATATTTAATAATTAAATGAAAGGTGTCACAGCGTGATTGTAACCAGCACGTACAGAGAATCAATCTATCAGATGTAAATGATGACATTGTACATCTTGACATTTGTAAGATGTAAATGATGAAAGTGTTCATCTCGTTATCTCTCAGTTGTAAATGATAAGTGTCGGTCTTGTCACCTCTTTAAGTAAATAAATGTACTAAAATAACCTCAAGAATGAAATAATCTTTCTTTTTATTAATCTCGTATTGTATTCTAAATCTTTTTTTAAACCCTTCATTTAACTCAATTGTGAATTGTCCCAAGCTCTGTATTGTGATTTTTATTATTGTCGATATATACGTATATACATTCCAAGGGTGCCCAAGGAAACTTAGGCACCCTTTCTTTCCCTTCCTCTGACGAAATGTGATTACCTCGTAGTCCCTCACCACGATGTGACCTGTTATTTTTTATTACGCCTATTTTCCATAATTTGTATATAAATGTCTTCGTATCAATCAATACCTATTTAGTTATTCTTGAGTTATCCCTGAAACTATCTTGAGTCACAGTGTGAGATCACATTATTATATGTGCTAATGATTTTAAAATTATGGCAAAAACACAAACTAGGTTAGATTTAAGATTTATGAATTTCAAAGAGCCTGTACATCAGACAGTTCAATCCTGAACTTAATATATCATCAGTTGCATTATTTACGTTAAAACAGTTGCCTCTCTCTTTTGTTTAAGTTTTTGTTTTAACTAGTTGACCTCGATCAATCAGTGTACGATTATATCTAGTACCTGCCTGTCTCCACCTGCAGTAAGATATTCATCTTGACATGTTCTTTCTATCTTTATATTAACTTACTTTATCATGTTTAACTTATGACAGTCTATTCCTTGATACTGTGTACACCTATTTAATAAATTATAGATCCTGTTGACAGTAAGTTTTAATAAACTGACCTTAGAAGAAAATTAAAGCCTTTTATGGTACTTATACGTATGTGTTGAGACATCTGAGGAGACAAAGAATTTTATCTATGGGGGAAAAAAGGAAAATTGCACCGGAGAACAGTGGAACTAACCCTATTACGTAGGTATGACGCAACCTTATTACGGAGGTGTGAGGCAACCTTATTATGTAGGTGTGAGGCAACCTTATTCCGTAGGTGTGAGGCAACCTTATTACGTAGGTGTGAGGCAACCTTATTACGGAGGTGTGAGGCAACCTTATTACGTAGGTGTGAGGCAACCTTATTACGGAGGTGTGAGGCAACCTTATTACGTAGGTGTGAGGCAACCTTATTACGTAGGTATGAGGCAACCTTATTACGTAGGTGTGAGGCAATCTTATTACGTAGGTGTGAGGCAATCTTATTACGTAGGTGTGAGGCAACCTTATTATGTAGGTGTGAGGCAACCTTATTACGTAGGTGTGAGGCAACCTTATTACGTAGGTGTGAGGCGCCCTTATTACGTATGTGTGAGGAAACCTTATTAAGTAGGTGTGAGGCAACCTTATTACGTAGGTGTGAGGCAACCTTATTATGTAAGTGTGAGGCAACCTTATTAGGTAGGTATGAGGCAACCTTATTACGTAGGTGTGAGGCAAGCTTATTACGTAGACTAGAGGCAACCTTATTACGTAGGTGTGAGGCAAGCTTATTACGTAGACTAGAGGCAACCTTATTACGTAGGTGTGAGGCAACCTTATTACGTTGGTGTGAGGCAACATTATTATGTAAGTGTGAGGCAACCTTATTACGTAGGCTTGAGGCAGCTGTTCCCCGTGCTTACACCCCGGGAACAACAATGCCCACGCATAAAATACCGCAGGGCTCACTCACGGGAAAAAATACTCTTCGCGCTTAGATAAGAGTCACCAACAACAGGACCTGGACCGTGATTAGCGAACGGCAGGTCAAACCTCAACTGCTACATCCTTGAATGACTCAGACAGGTTAAGCGCTTTATGAAATGCAATGTAATATGGCGAAACATATTTTCCCTATTTAAATTGTGGACACTATATTGTACAAGAAACCAATCTGACAAAAATTCATTCTTGTTGCACATCTTACTTGGGAATCTTAATATCTTAGACATTTCGAATATCTCGAATATATTTTTGCAAATTAAATTTTACTGGGGAATTTAATATATATATATTTCTCGATGTAAAGAAATCACCTACTGCGTGGGCGAAATGTTGTCAATACAGGATTACATTACACATCGTTTACGTGTTTATCAAAATGTTTATCTGGTTAGTATTAAGAAAACAAATGACAAGATCTATACATTAAATGTATATAATCTTCGGGGAGCGCTAAACCCATAAGAATCATGCAGCTCTCGGGAAATGAGAGGAATTGTGGGGGGAAGGAAATGATCAGGTTGGATCTGTGGAAAGAGTGGAGTAGGCCTATTTCCCTGGCTCAAGAGCTCTTTGCTAGTTGTTCGAATATATGTTCGATACTTCATATAACAGTTATAGTTCAAAAATCAACACCGGTACATCTGCTGGTGTGAAGCAGATGCTAAAACCATAGCAAACATTTAGTTATGCGGAAGAGGCAACCAGTGGAAGGCGGATGATGCGGAAAAAGGTAGCCAGGAGAGGCAGATGGAAAAGGTAAACTCGAGAAGCGGATGAGTCAGAGAACTAAAAAGTGAATGAAATGCCTCATTAAACAGGGTGAGTTTTCATCGCGACGTCTCTCTTCATACAGATTCGATTATCTTTCACTACGACTAGAACCATTCATCTCTCGTTACATCCAGAACCTGTGATCTATCATTCACCCAAACCACCGATCTCTCATTACATCCAGAATCGTTTACCTCTCGCTTCATACCCATTGACCTGCCACTACATACCAGTTGATATCTCACTAAATACCCATTGAGCTGTCACTACTTTCCCACTAAGCTGTCACTACATTCCCACTGAGCTGTCACTACATACTCAATAATCTCTCCCAACATACCATGGTTGGTGTTTCCCGCAGAGATGAAAGAAATTCAGTTAGACTTCAAGGTATATCTGAAGATATCCTCAGTGCACTACAGAAGGTGTCCCGTAGCTCGGTTGGTAGCGCACTCAGCTCACACTGAGTGTCCGTGGATCGACTCCCGGTATGGGTCGAAATATTGGGTACGTTTCCTTACATCTGCTGTCCCTGTTCACCTAGCAGCAAGTGGGTTCCTGGGTGTTAGCCGACTGGTGTGAGTCGTGTCCTGGGGGATGGTAGTATGTATCAAATATGAATGGGGCTTTGAAATGAGCTGACGTAGGATAACAGCTTTTAACCTGTTCAATTTATGTAAAAAAAAAATCTTCCAGCTAAACTTGAGAAACTTGAACACTATATATAATAATAGCAGTCAGCAGCTGATTACGAATCTTTTTTCTATATATACTTGCTTGTTTCTGCATGGTACATTGATATAAAAATTGCTTGTGAGGTCAGAACATACAGGAGAATGAAATAGATTGAAACCATCCTCTCTCTCTCTTTCTCTCTCTCTCTCTCTCTCTCTCTCTCTCTTCTCTCTCTCTCTCTCTCTCTCTCTCTCTCTCTCTCCTCTCTCTACTCTCTCTCTCTCTCTCTTTATATATATAATATATATATATATATATATATATATATATATATATATATATATATATATAATATATATAAAGGGGATGGAAATCTTTAGCTCAAGATCTTTCGCATTCTCGTGCGTCGTCAGAAGCTATGTAATGTTGCAAGACATCAGCAGTTAGGAGGGAAAATTCTATGAGGCAAGTGAGAAAATATTAGTGGTAACCCATGTCTCAGGGAGAGGACCACCACAGACCCATACACCTACACCCTTTCCCCCCACATCCCCTGAGACCCTTCTGGAGTAAGGGGAGGTGAGTACATCAGAGGTTTACAGAAAGCAAGTTACGGAATATTAAGGAAACGCAGTAGTCAGCAGTCACAAGTTTATGTGACTACAACTTACAAAACATTGTATATGTGAGTTTCTAAGATAGTCAACGGAAGTCGTGTAGAGTGACTTATCGCTTGGGCAGGTCGTAGTGTTATGAAACAATGCATTTGTCATGAAGCAGGATAGGTAAATATGTTGGTACTAGGTAACTATGTAGAGATCTTTCCTGCTGACACTTCCTGTAACATTTTCTGATGTATGATTATACAGGTTGACAACTAGTTAATCTGATTCATATAATAATGCTATGTTACATACAGCTTGAGTTTGGGTTTAGGTAAAATGATTCCATATGATAATAGATTAGTTTATATCGATTAGATGCGGTTTTGGACTGATTACTGCGTTTACTTAATATTCTGTAATTTGTTTTCTATAAACCTCTGAAGTACCCACCTCCCTTTACCCCGGACGGGTGTGAGGGGCCATTGGAGGATGGTAGATACTGGGGGTTAGTGGCGGCTCTCACCCTGTGTCATGGCTTACCACTGCTACCTTCTGCTTTGCCTCAGAGAATTTCCCCTCCTATTTGTTGCTGTCTTGCAACATTACATAGTTCCTCATGACGCACAAGAGTGCGAAGGATCTAGAGCTAAAGATTTCCATCCCAATGTGGCTTGTTCTGCACACACACACACACACACACACACGAACGCACGCATATACTACAAACCTAGTGTCTAATCGACATGTGCCTGGGACAAAATGGTAATAGTGTGTGTGTGTGTGTGTGTATGTGTACTCACCTAATTGTGGTTGCAGGGGTCGAGACTCAGCTCCTCCTACCTCATCTTAAAGCTATGTATGGTTCCTGCCTCCACTGTGTGTGTGTGTGTGTGTGTATGTGTGTGTGTTTGTGTGTGTGTTTGTGTGTGTGTTTGTGTGTGTGTGTCTGTGTGTGTGTCTGTGTGTTTCTGTATGTGTCTGTGTGTGTCTGTGTGTGTCTGTGTGTGTCTGTGTGTGTGTGCAGTCCAGTCAATGTGATACAAGACAGGGAAATATAGCTGGCTGTTGCTCTCATTATGCAACTATCAATAAATAAGGTAGCAGCACACTGCTGATGCATCCAATTTTCTATAAAAAGTCCGTGGCACCAGAGTGGCTCAGCTGTTTTAGTAAGGACGGCACCGGGGGACCCCAGTCTAGCACATGTTGAAGACTTGAGCTTGGTTCGGTCTCTTAACGTGTAAATGAAATGTGCGTGAACGCTAAACAACTGTACAGAAGATACTAGAAATTTTGTAATTTAAGATATTGTTATTAAAACAGCCTGTTGTTTATCTTACATGTTTTAATTTATGCTTGCATTTAAGGCTGACGCCTTAAGTAAGAGTGCTAATGTCATTTATGCTATAGGTTCACATGAATGTTGATGTTCTAGTGTATTTATGAAATAGGTGAATGTACACCTGCTGGAAAGGGTCCCAAATAGGGTCGAAATATGCAGGTATCCTCATCCGTTGTTTCTGTCTCAGTGTGAGTTTTGAATTAAATTAATTAATGGCCACAACACTCCCGTTACCATGTTTTAATGCATTTGACATTTATGCAAAAGTTAAAAAATGTTTTTCATGTGAATATGGAACATTAGTCCTAGCCAGCCTGTTTGTATTTGACCAGCCTAGATGTATAAGACCAGCCTGATTGTGCCCTGGCCAGTCTAACTGAACTCTGACCAGCCT